GCTGGAAGTGACCAGTAGCCTGAATCATAGCTGTGATATTAAACCTTTTTATCCTCRCCCAAGAGGAGGGATATCCATATATATGTGTACATAAATATATACCCTTTCTGAGATGCACTTTCATCTCGAGAGCCTTCTCATCTGAAGGGGTGGTTGGGCAGGTAGACACCTAAATGCTCCCCAATGCTCTCCTCTGGTGGGAGATGGAGCGCTCGCTCTCCACAGGAGATCACAGATGCTGCTGACTTCTCCCCCCATAAACCAGTTTTCCCTGGGGAGAAGTCAGGCAGCGCTCATGTCTTTGCAGAAGGAGAAAGCCAAGTTTGCCCTTGCCATGATCACAGAGCAGCAGAGGGAAAGGGCAGCCCYGAGGCCAGTCAAGCTGCCCCTTCAAAGTGCAGCTTGGCCAACGCCTACAGAGCAGCCCCACTTCCACACTGCACTCCAAGGGAACACCAGTCCCCTGCACCATGGCAGGTGCTTAWAATGACATGTCTACCAAGCTGCATCTTCACAAATCAGAAAGAAAGGGTCTACACTTAAGATATGCTTTCCTACTTGTGCCTATACATATTAAGYCCTCAGAGGCAAAGCTACACTGGTTAAGCAAAAAGGAGAGAGACATAGCGAGCAAGAGAGCAGGTCAGACAGACTTTTCAGGACAACTGATTTAAGCCGAGTCCAAAGAATGCTACCAGAAGACTATTTTGCTAATACAGCCTGTCTCCTCGCCCTGTTTGTAAATGCAAATGCTCACTTTCAAGTACAAGGCTAACAAAAATTACATTCATAKGGTGACACAGTAAACTGAGATGCTTCCTTTTCTACCTCTATGAATAACACAGGCAATGAAATCTTTGGAGGGGGGAAAAAAGGAAAAAAGAAAATAAAACCAACAACAACTAGCTTGCTATTTTATTTATACCCTCAATCCAAGCTCAAACCAAGGCAATCCAGAAATTACCAGGCAATAAGAACTTSATTACAGTCAGCAAATAAAATAAARGGAAAAAATAAACCTCAGTTAACAACTGGGAAAGAGCTAGTGGGGGAAAGGAGGAAGGGAAGGAGGAAGATAGGATCAAAAAAGAGGACTGTCCAGGACAGTAAGGCATAGGAAAATACTTGGATCTTGCTCACTTTGCTTTAATGGACCAAATACATGAGTCACATACTTGCAATACATTATAAATGTAAAGAAAAAGTGTCATGCAAAACAGGGCATTTCAATTTCTGAACAGCCAAAAGTCATGACACATCCCAAGAGACCTCTTTCTCTCAAACTATCAGTGTTTTAGCCTCAAATTGCAAATAAATTGCCTAAACTTTTTCACTTATACACTACAGTATATAACAGGACAAATAATGTGATGTTCAAGTCATACAGTAAGTCATGATGTGATGTTCAAGTAAGTCATACAGTAAGTCATACTGCTCTGTACTACCTAACAGGAACACTGAGATGGAGAATATCTGTTAAATCTACACCTATTTCTCCCAATTAAAAATAAATTATTAAAAATTGTAAAGAAAGAAAGAGGAAAAAAGGCTTTCTTGTCAAACTCATAATAAAATCTTGGAAGCTTCAGAGTTAGTTGAAAAGCAGAAAGAAACCTTATACATTTATATTTAACTAAAGGGYCTTAGAAGACTCTATTGCAGATTTCTTGATTTGATGATTAAATAGTTGTGTGAAAAAAACGTTTCTGGGATCTTTCACACTTTCACCTCTGCATTCGGAAGAGTCATGAAAAAAGTAACTCAAATTTGGAATCCAAGAACAAGTCATTACTTTGCCTCTGAGATGGAAGTGCATCTATGTTCTCACATTGCTCTGAGGGGGCAGAATTGGTAAGCAGCAACCCAAATCCTTCAGCACTTAGACTTACAAATAAACATGTATTTAGCAACAACGTTGTCCAYTGAGTTTCTCAAAAATACTTTTCTTGAAGCTTTTTAATATATTCATTGAATACTGTGCATATACTAGACCAAGATGGTCACAGAATCACAGACAAATAATTATTTCCAACCATTTTATGTTCCATACTAGAAAGATTCCGGAATTTACTTCTAAATTCTAAGAGTGACAACATAGCTTAACGCAGTTCAAAATCACAACAACTCAGAACTTCTGTTTTTCATTTTTCTGCAAAACAGAGGCAATATWCATACTCCTAACAGTGACGGTGAGATTTAACTAACAGGCGTTACTGAAGAGCTCTGAATTCCATTGATGGAAAAACTATACTGGTATTGTGCATTATCATAAATATTCAGCATCTGCAATCAAAAGACAACTGGTGTTTCCATATATAATAAAGTTGTCACAATTCACAAGGAGTAATGCTGCCACTTCTGGAACAGGGAAAAAATATATTTAGATTTTCAAGTTTCAGCTCTTACAACTGAAAGTTAGGTTTTYTCTTTTATATAAAAATGAACATTCCCAATAACAGGTTAGTTTACCAAGACATACTGACTGGATGCAACAGATTTCCTTCGGTTTCCTTTTCCTCCAATGCTCAGACAGGCAAACCAGTCACAAGCACAAGAGCTCAGTTGTCTTGGCTCTAGGAGTCCTTTCTTTTCTGCTTCTCCAAGTTAACTCCTACCTTAAMAAAAGCCTTTTTGCTGCTCTTGTCTACAACAGCACACTCAACACACGTTCTCAAGGACTGAGGCTCAAGTATCTCATGGCTGGGATCTCAATTCTCAGCAGTGAATACATTGAAAAAGATGCTTCTCTTCAGGATTCTTCTTCAAAAGACATGGAAACCACAAAAATTCATCTACTTCATAGCCAAGGAGACTGGGAATAAGAGGGAAACCCAGCTGAGGGTGGCTCACTGTCACYGCACAGCATTTGCTACTGGACCACTACCTTTGCTATCAGTCCCTCTCTAAGCTACACAACAGTCAATTTGGTTATTTTACTTCTATCTCAAGCAATGAGATACAGGATTATCTGTCCACTGGAGATTAAAGGATTTGGGAAGAACATCTGTGAGAGCTGCATCATCATATTTTTTTTTTGTCATTCTGCAAGCAGACTGCACCAAAACAGGGGCAAAAGACACATAGGTGCTCAAACAAGACAAATGCCAGCAGAAGGAATTATTGACTGCTGTAAAGAACTTGACCTCACAAATATTCTTTCATGGGAAATACCAGGCCAACTGTTAAGGAACTGAGTAAGACAAAAAAACAAAAGAAACCCACAAATTTCCATTCAGAAAGATACTTTCAGTGGCAGAGAACAATTTGGCTCTGGTTCTGGATCTCCAGATGGGAYGGTGGATGCAAGCAATGCTGCTTCTGTATCTGAAGCTTCATTATCTTGTTTTTCTATTCCCTACGAAAACTATTTCCAAAGTGCTTTTTCGTCTTTGAACAAGCATCCTTCCCTTTCTACGATTACCACACAAAATATGGTCAGATACAATCATAAAAGTCAGTTTTTGAATCTTGTAGCTGTCTGACTTATAGTTACAATGGGGGGACGCAGAAAAGGAAGCCCTAGAAACACAGGAAAAATCCCAASTGACCATCAAATCAGACAGGCCCAGTCTGCCATGGACTCCGATGGAGATGGAGACCCCACCATGTAGTGCCCCGCTGAAAGGTTATCATGTTCAGGAGGGGAGACCAGCCAAATAAATCCCACTGAGAGGCAATAACCAAACTGGAACCTCATTGGAATTTGAGTATTTACATTGATTTTTTTTAAATTACCAGCTGAGAATGAGTACTCAAGCCAACGTACAACGATGGCTCCATAGGTACACGMATCACTAGCAAAGGATTACCCTTTAAAGGATTATACTTTAAACAAAGAAAAATTTGGTACGCTGCGAACAACTGACTCCAATAAGAAGAAATGGATTAATCCAACAGGATTATCGGGAAAGGCTTCTCTTTCTGCACTTTAATGGCCAGATACCTCGCTGAGAAACATGAGCAGTTTCATTTAAACGTCTCGGTTTGGTTGAGAAGCACCTTTTCATGTGACAATCCCCTGCTCGTGGCTCACAAATAACAGCTGCTTATTCAGTTAAGGCTGTTAAAACAAGAGCCTTGACTGATTATCCTCAGTCTCCCAAGCTAGGGCAATCTTCTGTCTTTTCACAGGGCCCTTTCCTCTCCCCTCGCACATGTAAGCTCTGATCTTCAAGTCCTTTTAACTCCGGCCAGGAAGGAAGATTAGTAGCTGCCCGCACTGCTACTACATGGTGCAATCTCCAGGACTGAGCTCCTTCCCTTCCCTCTGGGAGGCAGAGCTAGGAACTGAAAACAGAAGCCTAAAACTGCGGGATTTTTTCTCTCCTGAATTTTTTAACACTCAGGTAAGCCCCAAGGCTGCAGTACTTTGGTATTACGGGAGGCAAAATGGCACTGATCTACTGCAGGAAAATGGCAAAGACTCRCTCTACGTGCGCTCCTGCCTCTGACACACCAGTATTTTGGTGACATCTGTGTGGCAACCCACAGAAGATTTTGATATAAATCTAACTTGAGTCTCCTCACAAACAAAAGGGAGTAAAAAAACTAGCTAAAARRAAAARGRAAAAAAGACTTGAAAGCAAAAGCCTCATTAATTTACTAAAATGATTTTTAGCCTTATATTCATCTTTTTAACATATGATTTTAGAAAAGTTAGCATGCATTGAAGATGCCCACACAGTAACTGCAGTACAGGTCCCCATCACTGAAAGGCAACGTAAGGGGCCCTGGGGAGTCGGTGGGTGCTCCCAGGCAGCCCCCTATGAAGGGCAGGGCGAATCGCAGCCCCACAAAGCCGGGTTCGAGGACAGCCACAAGCCCCATGGCCGGGCCGCACGTAAGCACCATCACTGAGGTGACTTTTCCCATCCAGTACTTTTACATTTCCAGCCTTTGAACTTGCCACATGCTGCTTTATAACCAACTAAGCTSTACGTTTCTTCAGCATATATTTCGCATACGTTTAAGAGTAAAGGCTGCATTAAGCAAAGACTTACCTCCTCCACCTCCAAGAAGGCTGGAATTAGCTGTAAGAAAAAAGAAAAGGAGAGTCATCAGCACTGAGTTTTCTAAACATATATGGATCCAAAACCCTGCAGAAATATGACACAAGGTTTTCCATTTTTGTTGTTTCAGTGATTTTGTTACTCTACACTTAACCAAAAACACTTAAACACAACCTTTTTATTTAAACAAATTATAAGCATAGTGTTTACCTAGGCAATATTTTGCAATATATTTGCATCCACGCAATCAAYAAATAAAACAGGAACTGCAAAAGCTTTATGTAATGAATAGTTCTTGAAATTGTAATATTGAATTTATAGTTCTATAAACCATATTTCTTTCAGATTAACAAAGGAAAGAAACCATCTTCCATTTTAGAGAAACTTAAAAAGACTTTGAGGCAATTTATGACTAGATCTGCTCATTTTCTAAGCTGGAGACCTTTAAGGATGACCGTGAGCCCACTGAAATCAAAAAGAGTTTTATCATTATTTTCAATTAAGGGAGTATGCTTAATTGCTTCTGTAGCACAGCCACCAGCTATCCATGTCAAAACCAGATGAATCATTTATGGAAAGCAACTTGCAGCACACGGTGATCCAAGCTGGGCATTCAAGGTAAGCCAGTGCACCTGCCCTCAYGCCAAACGTTTTCCTGCCACAGCCTTGGGGAAGGGGCAAGAAAAGCCAAAGTTTCCCATGTCCTGGAGTGAAGGGTCACCCTTTAGCCATGGAGGGAACACATTCCCTTCACATAATCATGCAGCTGGAAACGCAAAAGCACCAGGAAGAAGGGTGGTCACTGGTATTTCTTAGGGCTTGCAGATGAGGGAAGGAGAAGCAAGGGAGCCAACCCCGGCGTGCTCCAGGACTAAAGCAGATGGTAAGATMCACAGGATGGGCTTCATCCAGCACCCAGGCTTCGGACCCTAACACGCTGTTGTTTCTATGATCTCCTTCTGCTTCCTAATCTGAAGGTTTTAAAGAACAAATTCCCTATTTTTCCCCAATATTTTTAAGACTTTGTCATTTGGGGGGACAGATGGACACTTTGGCTTCCCTTGTGTCTTCCTCAGATCCTCCACATGCATCTTTAACACCCACAGTCTCCTCCTTTTGCCCCACTTTCCCTGACCCTGCACTGAAGCTGCYGTCTTCACTGACAAGCAAAACTTACTATCAAAAAAGCCTAGATCAAAGAGCACCACATACCCTTWATAGTATCATCTTTACAGCAACTCAAGCAGCAGTGGCTCTAGCTTTTTTTTTTAAGGAATATGCTCCTGTATATCCAATATGACTGACCATAGCTCTCAAAAGCCAATCAAACCATAAACTCCAGGAATTAGCCAGCCTAGGACTGGTTGGGTTGGTTTTTCATCTCCCTTTTGGCTATGGAAACTGTTCATTTAGCTCAAGATCCTCAATTAGCTTTCACACATTTGCACCCCATTAATCAATTATTTTGCTAACACATCACCGTGGTAGCTACTTTCTTGTTCTACTGCAAAGCAAGAATGAGGGAGCAAATATTGCTATATAGAAATTGCCTTTGAAAAGATGCAATAATAACAGTAATGAATACGTGGGCAGATAGATTGCAAAGAGTTCGATTTCTTGGTATTTATCTGCACTTTCCCTCACTGAAATTTAGYATTAAAGACAGACACAAACTAAAAACAAACAGATTTTTTTACAGCAGCTCCCAAAGATCAGGAGAAAATGACAACAATGTTCAATGCCACAAATCTGCAATTCACCATTACTCTYTTCTGGCATGGCAGGATGAACCTATTATTTCCCTTCTTGTTTTTCATTGAATCAAGTCAAGTTCCAGAATTTCAGATGTCACCTTTGAGAGATAAATCTAAGGTCTGCTAAATTTTGCTATTAGAAAAGTTTCCACTGCTATAAAAACATTTCTTCTGATACCCAGCCAACATTCCCATTGTAACCTCTCATTTGCTGGCTTCTCAGAGAATTATGTTTCTCTCGTTAAAGTTTTTCGACAAGGTTCATCTCTCCGATATTTTTCTGAAACTTGTTTGTAACACGCAGTACAAGYCACCATCAGAGCTCTCTATAGAAACAGCAACAACATTTCGAACAGATTTTTGGCTGCAGTGCGTCTATTAAAGCTATTCAAAATGCAGTAATAATTTATAGATTTTTAAAAAAAGGCAAAGCATTATGCTTACATAACAAGAAATATCAAAACAATTTCCTACGATGCCAGGAAAGGCCATGACTGAACGGTATTTGTGATATCCTTTCCAGAAAGATAATGTGTCACTCAAAAACCAAGAGCTTCTATTTTTCGATTTTTTAGATGATACCCAAAAGGTTCAGTGAACTGCACTTTAATTTTGGGAAACGTTACCATTAAGGCACCAACTCGCCACCTCGCACCACAAGGACAGGGCTCCCCGGGCAGAGCCCTCAACGCTGCCACGTTCCCCTCCGAAGGGCTGTGAGATGAGGTTCCTCTGGACTCGGAGGGCAGCCTGGCCCAGCCACAGGGCTCTCCACCCACCACATCACCTCACATAGCAGGAAATGCGGCCTCGCTTCCCAGGCCCCTGGTGTTAATCCACACTTGAATTTCACCCCCTGGTGCTCCCAAAACTCTAAGCCTAGCAAAACACTGTGAAACGAGCTCCTTCTGTGGAGGTTGGACTATCTAGATAAGGGCCATCACCTGCGGCCCTCTCCAAAACCTGATGCAGCCCACATGGCCACTGCTGGGCAGGTTGCACCATTACCCTGCATGCATGCACAGCTCCTCCACCTACATAAGGCATGTACACATGACAAGGAACATTTGTAGACAAACAGAAAGTCCCTCTTGGCCAGAGTCATCTTCATTTCTCTATTCTAGAGCTGAACATGTGATTCTGAAGTCATATAAAACAGAGGGGGAAAAAAGAGAAAGACTACTTTGTTACCAAGGCACAAGAAAACAAACAAGCATGAGAGTGGCCCCAAAGAAAGGAGAAGCAAAGACTCCTCATGCCTCACTTCATTCCCCATGATACCCTTCCAAGAGGACTCGCCCTACTTACTTAAAATTATGGCCTTCAAAATTGCAGTCCATAACAGATTCCTGCACCAAATCCAATAAAAACAGACTCGGAAACATAATTTTAACATGCATTGACTTAAACTAACAGGAGTCATGACACAAAATGGTCAGGCAGCCACGACTACGTTCCTTCCTGGTCAGACTGTGCCAGGCTCCATCCAAAACGCCTCACTGAGCTATCCCAGTCATCTGCAAGAGGCAACAGAGGCAAGAGCTCATCTAAGTACATCCACCTGAGCCAGTTCAAATAGGCTTCAAGGAGGACAAAAGGCACATTTTTGGAGCAATTCCTATGGTTTATTTTAAAACTAGCCTCAGGGTGAGAGGAATTGCAGCTCAGGAGACCCTGCACATCTCCAATGCTGTAAAAGGAGTATTGACTTCTAGAGTTTGAGGCAGATCAGCCTTAAAGCATTTGAAGCATTAGAAGTAAATAGCATTTCTGCAAAGCTGAGGCTCATCTCTAAGGAGAGCACTGATCCAAAGGGGAAGACAAAAACCCACTCACACCTGTGCCCATTCATTGAGCTTAATGATTTGGCCCTTAATGAGATGTTTATGACCTTGCCTTCAACCAGACACGGCCAGACTTTACTTGTCTCAGCACCTCAAGGATTGGATTTTTAATTCTATTTCACCCAGCGCTCTCATAGCACTAAAAGTCCATGAGTCTCTCTTACCCAGCAAACTCATCTCTTGCTGTAGGAAACCAAATTCCTTCCAAAACACTTTAGGGGAAGTGGGGGAGGACTTGGGAGAGAAGAATTTAGAGTAAGCTTAGTTTCCCATTACAAAACACCAGCAATGAAATTTCCAGTTTCTAAAATTACAAATTTGGATAATGAATATACCAGTACACTGGACAAAGAAGAACTGGACATGAATGTTTTAAATTTCAGCCCTCTTAATAAGTTAAGTCATATGGCTTCCCAATATTTTTTGACTGAATATGCAGGCCAGAAATTCTGGCAGAAGTCCTGACATTTTCTTCAGTGTTCTTTTTACAACATCTTTGCCAAAAAGTAGGATTATTTAAAATTCTGTGGAAAGCAAATGAATGCTGAAGAAGTTCACTGCTAATGACACTGAAAATGTTCCTGTACTCTTAACTCAAAGGGTATAAAGGTGAAAAAAGGATGCTGCTAAAATGGATGTTTACAGGCATAAAAACATTTGGGTTTTTTTCTGCTGTCAATTCTGTTGGAGTTAAAAAAAAAAAATAAACTGAAGCCAATACATACTTCTGTGATGTCTCTGGAGATAACAGGCTTTTAGCTTTGTTAACAACATAGCCGAACAATTCTGGTTACTTTTAGTTGGCATATACTCATCTGACAACATTTTAAAAACATAAATTCTTCTGGGAGCCTGTCTTTGTCAAGTATTAATGGCACTAGTAACTTAAATTGACATCTATGTCATGCAGCCATGCATCTGTCAGTATAATAAAAATATACTTTCAAATGAGTGCTTGATATTGTCTGACTTTGACAGCAGATGTTTGAGCTTATTTTTATGTAAAAAGATTAAATATTTTTGTCAATACTTTCTAATTGCGAAATTTATTTGAGATGACATCTTTATAGCCAGCAACGTTGTAAGATGTGATTCACGCTATGGCCTCAAACATCATTTTTACTCATCAATAAAACATCTTAACAGGCAATTTATGAACAGAGTCACGTTAATTTATGGAACGGGGAGCTCTGCGTGTTTGCTGGGACATCCTTACCTGCCACTGCGTTTTGTTTGACCTCTTCTCAAGAGGGCAGATAGGAGCAGGAGGAAGTGAGAGCTGGCAACCCTACCCTACGCGCTGAACCRTTTTTACACAAGACACATTGTGGTGGTTTACAGGAAAATGTTTAAAGCTTAAAGTTCATGAAAATGATTTCAAAGTAAATGTAATAAAAAATACAGCTACACATGGTGTAGTACA